AATCGAAAGTAAGTCTGAATAAACTTTAAATGTTTTTCAAAAGATGTTAAATATAGGATCCTAGATCTTTGGAGGATTACCTATTGTTGGGAATGCTTTTAACATAATTAATGCTGCTCTCGATTTTGGATTAGAATATCATAAAGAGCATAAATTTACTACAGGATTAAGAAAACTAAGTAATATTTTACAATGTATTTCTATAGTTCCAGGCCAATTATAAATAGAGATATAAATTGCAAGCTTAGAATTAAATAGAAATTAATAAACTAATTTGATTAATGAACCAAAATCAAGATTTAGGAAGTTTGCAGATTAATTGTTGCAAGATGAAGATAAATAATTCAGAGATATTATATATTGGGCAGCAGGTACTGAAGATGCATTGATTATTTTTAATTATTTGGAAGCAATAGTGATATGATAATAAATGAAATATTTAACAAAAAAGTTGTTTTGAGGTAGATAATAATTTAAGCAATCAAAGAATAGCATGAGTTATCTGTAAATAAATAGAGATAAAGGTCTTTTATACTACCTATTTTCTTTCCTTTCCCTTTCTAAATAATAAACTATTTTAGAAGAAATTTAACTTCTCTATGCTTTCAGTCAGTAGACATAATTAATCAAATCTTAGTAAAATAGTAATTAGTAAACATGAAGATTTTTTTTGCGTTAATTAATAATTATAAAAGTAATCAGTCCCAAAACAAACTCTACATCAAAAATTATTTTATCTTATGATGATGTCATATTTGGAGTAATCCGAGAAGCTACCTTTTCCTATTCTTTTTATTAATTCTATCTTTTAGTAACATAAGGCGAGCGATGACTATAGGGTATTCAGCAATAATGAAAGACTAAAGTACAATTTAAGGATTCTTAACATGGAAAACTCTCCCCAACCTCGCTGAAACCAGCTTCTCAGGAGAAGACGCATGTTGTTGTTAACTAACTGGAATACTAATAATCTTAACTCTTTTCTCAATAGAATTATTCTCAAAAATAAAAAGCCACATAAGTAACTAATGATAGGAGTCTCAAGGTCAATCAGAGCTAGAAGACAAGATGAACAAAAATAGATTTTATTTACAACTCAAACAACAACCTTATCTCTGACCACAAGCCTTTAAAACTTGAATTAGATGTTTAGAGATATGACTCTATGCAATATTCGGTCCTATATGCTTACAACACTAGATTATATCTCCTTTTTTTAATTTATATGTATGCAGATTTAAAGAATCTTGATATACTTAATACAATTATTTGATACTTTCTAAATTAAATAGATCAATAACTTATCTTATTAGATAATTCTGTCAAATATTTATTATCATTTGTAATTATCATACCTTAAATAAATATCTAGGTATCTGATGATTCCAGGGTTAAGATCATCCAGGTTTTGTTAAATTAAATGCATCAAATTATGTAAATACACTAATAACTTGAATATTAAGTACTAAAAATAAATAATATACAAAAGGAATATGATTTCTCAACCTACTAAGCAAATATGAATGCATAGAGAATCCATTGTTTTTATTCCATTTGTTCATTGCATTAATTTAGGCCCAAATTAAGTGTTCTTTATGATCAAAATCTAATTGTTGTGCAGGAT